GAACTAGTGCAGCTCGAGCAATTAGTTCGTTGGATCCAACAAGGCCCAACTCAACAAGAAGTTGCTCTAAGTCTAAATGTGTCGCAAAGTGTGATAAGTCGTGCATGGAATCGGTATGTAGCAACTGAATCTGCAACATACATGCATGGAGGAAGAAGAGAACGATCTATAACTCGTCGGAAAGACCGTTTTGTAGTTCTGACGGCAAGAAGACACCCAACATTCACGGCTTCTAGAACTAACAGTATCTTTAGGCATGCTACTGGACGAGCGATTTCCAGTCAAACTGTCAGAAGACGGTTACATGCATCCAATTTAAGGGCTAGATGGCGCGCTACCCATCCACGACTAACTAAGGAGCAGCGTGCATGCAGATATCGCATGCTATCTATAGATAGAACACTATCAGTGGAATTTCAAAAATTGGAGAAATTTTCCCTTTACTGATGAGTCCAGATTTCGTTTGTATACGAATGATGGCCGATATGGTGTGGAGTGAAAGAGGACAGCGTTACAATGATAATCTGAGAGTCCCAACCATTCTTTTTGGAGGTGAATCCGTTTGCGTGTGGAGAGGCATATGTTTTGACGGTCGCACGGAGACTTAGTCGTCTTAATTAATGAGACAATGACTACTACACGATATCGAGACAGAGTCATAGTACCAATAGTTGTTCCATTTTTTGGTGCAATAGGTAAACAATTTGTTCTGATTGATGATAATGCTCGCCCTCACCGTGCGAGAATTGTCAACGAGTGTATAGAAGCTCATGGCATTACAAGAATGGAGTGGCCACCATGTTTACCTGATATGAATTGTATTGAACATGTTTGGGCCGAAATGTCTAGGCAACAAAACAGGCTCCTTTAACCGCCCCAAACCTTAAATCAGTTGGCCAATACATTACGCGCGATTTGAGAACGTGTACCGCAGCAGTTCATCAATTATTTAATAAAAGGTCTTCCAAATAGAATTAGAGTACTAAGACGACACAGAGGTGGACCCACACACTAATAATTGTTCTTTTCGGAATATTAGGAATTGTCCAGGAATAAAAATTTTAGGTTGTTAATTTTACAATTTTTGTTTTTTTTTAAAGAATTTTTTCTTTCGGTTCATCTGTATGAAAAAATACGAAGTAAAAATAAATTTTTATTTATATCACTTTATTTTTTTATTTGACCTTATGAACAAAAAATAAAATAAACATTTTCATAATATCCACTTCAATTGTTTAGAAGTGTATGCACCATGCATTACCATTTTTTAAAAGATCATAAGAGTATCTCCCAAAGGTTTGTCGAAATAAGTCTGTCAAAAAGAATTCCAAAGGTAAAACAGTTTTAGAAGATTTCGAAGGAAAAATAACACCTAAAAATAAAAATAGTGATGATGTGCGAAATAAGATTCGCGAGCATATTTTCATATTTCCAGTCCAAGAATCTGATTACAGGAGAGAAAAATCATCAAAAATTACCTAGAAATCAATTTAAGTATCAAACGGATGTACAACTTATATTTCTCTGGTGGTCATGAACAAAATGTTTCATTATAAAGGTACAACTTGAAAAAAGTTGATAAACAGCAGTCATAATATGGTCCAATAACTGTCCATTCCAAAATCGTAATGTTGGGATGGGAATGTACTACTTTTATATTTTATATAAGTTTTCACAACTTAAAATAAAATAAGACAAATATTTATTATGGGGGAATACACATCTATAGGCCGATTTGGATCATTCTTTAGTAGAAAGATAATGGAGAAAAGAGACACAGCATTTATTCTGTGCGAATAAATGCAAATAATACTGTTAGTATTATTTGCTGTTCGTGAATGTGTTGATATTTTAAGGTTATGTTACTGTTTGATTAAACTTTAAGTATTTTTTACTGTATTTCAAGGTATTTTGTTGTAGTTTTCGTTAGGGTTATTTCAAAATAAATCAATAAATCATTGAATTTATTTAAACAGCTAAAAAATATTTAAATTAATGTTTTATTCGTTTTTAGTTGCCAGTGATTTTATCCTGTAAAAGACTAAAGATATTCGTTTTCTCGTAGTTGTAAGTTATAATATAATATTCTATGGAAACCTTTCTATCAAATTGCCATAATGAGTGTTTAAAAAAATATTTTTTGAGTGTTTAAAAAAATATTTTTTGAATGTTGTAATAGTTTTTGAATTTATTTTTATATCTGGGCTTATAATTCTAATAAACATGTGTTAAAGATATCCAGTATTTAACAATAAAACACTGAAAACTTTGTTTTCAAACTTCCACAAAATTTATTTTAAACTCTTATCACTACAACTGTTTTGGCTGATTGTTTTTCTAAAGTGATCTATTTTTGACATGCGTTTACACTTTATAGTCTTTAATGAAATAGGTTGAGGAGGGGATAACTGTTTGTATCAAGTTGGTTATTCAGAATTATATCTGTGTTATTTAATTTGTTGATTTCCATAGATTCTAACAAAGATAGCTTAAGGCCTCTATTTTGAATGTGAAGAATTTTAAATTCGTCATTAAAAGAATAATTATTATCTAGAAGGTGAAGTGCGTACGTAGAATCTGTTTTTCTATTATTGAAAGCCCTTTTATGTTCTGCTATTTGTTTATTAAAATTTCTACCAGTTTGACCGATGTAAGTTTTTGGGCAGTCGCCACATTTAAGTTTGCATACACCACTGTGTAAGTGTTTTTTATTTTGGCTCTTGTTTTTTCTCTGGTGGTGGAAATACCAATTTTAGGGCTTTCTTGTGTAGTTTGTGATTTAAAATTTTTTTAAATTGTTTGTTCGTTGTATCCATTGTTTACTGCTATTTACTTAATGATATTTATTTCTGACATTTTGACATCGGAATTTCTGTTAATCTATGTAACATACTATGATAGGCAGCCAGTTTATGTTGTGCGGGATGGGATGATGAATTGTGTATAGTCGTGTCAGTATGGGTAGGTTTATGAAATATGGAGAAGTCCTGTTTGTTTTTAAGTCTGATAATTTTTAAATCTAAACAAATTATGGATTTATTTTGTTCTGTTTCTATTGTAAATTCAATATGACTATAAAGTGAATTAATATACGATAAAAATTAATCGAGTTGTCTGTTAGTTCCTGTGAAACATACCAGTACGTCGTCTACTATCTCCACCAATATAAAAACTGTTTGAATATGGGATGTTTTGAAATCTTTGTCTCTAGATGATCCATAAAAATATCTGATAGCAATAGACTTAGAGGATTGCCCATTATAAGTCCTGCACTGTTATTCGTATTTCCACCACCATAGAAAAAACAAGAGCCAAAATAAAAAAAACACTTACACAGTGGTGTGTACAAACTTAAATGTGGCGACTGCCCAAAAACTTACATCGGTAAAACTGGTAGAAATTTTAATAAACGAATAGCAGAACATAAAACGGCTTTCAATAATAGAAAAACAGATTCTACATATGCACTTCACCTTCTAGATCACAATTCTTCTTTTAATGACAAATTTAAAATTCTTCACATTCAAAATAAAGACCTTAAGCTATCTTTGCTATCTATGGAAATCAACAAATGAAAAAACACAGATATAATTCTGAATGACCAACTTGATACAAACAGTTCTCCCATCTTCAATATATTTCATTAAAGACTATAAAGTGTAAACAGTAGAGTATGGGCCGCTTGGGGCACCCCCCACCACTCCCACTCTGACGTCACACGGTTGCAAATGCCAAACGGCTTAACGTAGGATGACGTACGAGGGCTCGTTGGAAAGAGGATGAAAAATGGGGTTGAATGAAATATGTGCCGAGCGCATCGGAGCATGCCAAAAGATCGTTACATCATATCTTTGTTTCTATTGGTCCGATTGTAACGTACGAGGGGTCGTTGGAACGGGAAGGAGGTAACGAATACGTTGAGACAAAAAACAAAGATGGCGGCGTTGCCAAATGGGGCGCTAAAACGTATCTTCGTTGCTATTGGTCTGATTTTGACGTATGAGGTGTCAAAGCGTTGGTGACACACAGAAGCCATGTACAAGCTCGAACATTCTTCTTCTTGTACATACAGTGCCTAAGAGAACGTCGACACAGAACGTGGTAGAACGTGAAATGTTGCTTGAATAACGTGACATTCGACATGTATTTGCGACACAAAACAAACATGCATTTACTGTTCATCGTAGCAGGAAGAACAGGGTGATAGAGCTCAACGTATAATAATGTGTGACATATCGATGGGAAGGGGATGTGGTAACGATTATGTTAAGATAAAACGTAAGCGGTAAGACAATGCCAAAACAGACGCTTGTGTATGAGGTGCTGATGGGGAAGGGGACGTGGTAACGAATGTGTTAAGGTAAAAAGCAAACGCAAAGACAATACCAAAACGAACGGATCGTGATGTGTGAGGTGTTGATGAAAAGGGAGGTGGTAACAAATATGTTAAGACAAAAAGCAAACGCAAAGGCCGTGCCAAACGACGCTATGTCGTATCTCTGTTGTTATTAGTCAGATTACTACGTGTGACGTTAAATGAAAAGAAGAGGTGACGGGGAAATATGTTAAGACAAAAGACAATGACCAAAAAACGCCGTTATATCGGATCTTCGTTTAGCATAATAGACATTGAAAGAAAGTGGCGCTAACAGAGAATCATCGCTGAAACGTTTCTATATCAAATATATGACATAGTTTGAATGGGGTTCCACATACAGTTGATCAACTCGTCACGCCACCTGTCGACTACATCTAGCAGCTGACATCGTAAAAAAAAAAGATACTCCTTCAGTCTATCTCTCGCTCCCGTGAAACAATGCATAAAAGGTGAGGTGTGCAATTATTCGAATCATCTATCATAATTTAGAATGTACATAATAGAAAAAATGTAAAAGACAAAATTAAAAAAAAAGGCAAGGTCTATACAGATTACTTTATTGTTTACAGAATAAAAAACCAATAAAATAATTTTTATTATAATTAATGTAAAGTTTAAATGTTTATTCATTATCGTCATCTTCACCATCTTTATGATCTTCATCATTAAAATCTTCATCATAACCAACATCATTATAGTCCTCATTATCGTCATCTTCACCATTAAAATCGTCAGCATAATCAGCATCATTATAGTCCTCATTATCGTCATCTGCACCCTCTTCATGATCTTCACCACTAAAATAGTCATCATAATCATCATCAATATAATCATAACCATCATCGCTTCTTATACCTAAAACCCACAACCACTGCACAATATCGTTATGCCAGAGGGGTTTATGGTTGTTATGGTCGACCCCAATGTTATTGATAGAGGTCCTTATACCAGGGTGAGTGATCTGAAACACGATACATAGATAGAGGGTAATAGATGAGGAGAATGATAAATAGAAAAATCAAAAGATGACAGCATAGCATAAGGATCTAAATAGCGTAATTTGAGGATGTATATGGCATATCGTCGTAAAGAGGAGAAAGTGATGTGAATGACGTGACATTAGACGTAGGATGTGACGTTCAACGCAGAACGAGACACATCGATGCAAAGCAAAGAAAATGACGCTAAAAATTTAGAGCAAAGAAAATAATGAGCGTGTTGGTTTCCAAGGCACCCGTGAGCACCGTTGACACCCCCCCCCCCCCAAGAGGCCTACAACCAATAAGATTCCTCAGAGAAATCAAACATGTAAATTTGATGTTGAATTAAGATATTTTTTGATAGCATAGAACAAGCGATTGTTTGTCCCACATTCGAGTGAGTAACGAGCAAAGTTGCAATGATGTTACAAAGTCTGAAATCTTTTAATATATATTTTAAAACATAGGAAATGGTTCAGCAGACATCTTTTTATGATCTGATGGCCATCTTTTGTATGAGTAGGCTACATGAATACTAAATTTTAACTTAATAAGATCGGTCAGTATTTGTCAAGTGGGCTATAGCAGATATCTTTTATTTTTCTTAACTGAACATCTTTTTAAACTAGATAAAGCTATAGGGTTCAGAAGACATCTTTTTATGATCTGATAGCCATCTTTTGTATGAGAAGACTGCATGAATACTAGATTTTAACTTAATAAGATAGGTTCAGTAATTGTCAAGTGGGCTATATCAGATATCTTTTATTGGTCTTAACTAAACATCCTTTTAAAGTAGATAAAATTATATGGTTCAGAAGACATCTTTTTATGATCTGATAGCCATCTTTTGTATGAGTAGGCTGAATGAATACTAAATGTTAGCTTAATAAGTTTGGGTCAGTAATTGTCAAGTGGGCTATATTAGATATCTTTTATTGGTCTTAACTGACCATCTTTTAATGACAAAGTATCTTATTTAGGTAGATAGGACAAACGGTAACTCACTACAGCTTTGTAGTGACCCTACTTTTCAGTGCGACAGATAATCATGTGTATCACAAAGTAGAGGAAAAAATTACGCTGCTGAAAAATAAAAGTAATACATTAATATAAATTAAAAAAAAATAAAAAAAATGTACAAAAAATTAATAATTAAAAGGTGTTAGTTTTAAACTTTGAGTTTTTTATAACCGAAAGGTATAGATGTAAAATCATCGAAAAATTTTCTTTTGGTTGAATTTGGTCTATATTGTTTTTCACAGGTTTTCGTAATAACAGAGTGATCTTGTGTTCTTTGAATTTGTTTAGCAACTATGGAAACAGGATCGGTTTTTGTAAGTACCATATCTCTGATTTTTTCAAAATTAATTAATTTAGAAACTTCATAATTTAAACAAATACCTTTAACCTTACAACAAATTTTCTCATCGCCATTAGGTAAAGTATACTTATATGCATAATTTTTAGGTCCTCCAGAAACGAACTCTGAAATATATCCACCACCGAGTTCATCAGTTAAATCGCCTATACAATCGCCAGTAGGTAGGTCGGGTAACTTAACCTTGGAGACGTAAATAATTGAGTCGGTATCATAGTACAAGGTACGTTCGCCCACTATCTCTAAATATGAATATAATTTAAGACGAGCCATGGCAGTAACATAAGAAGCCAGAACCACGTTAACTGAGGGTGACATGGAAGCCGCTTCTTCTACATACTCCCATGTGACAATCAAGGTCTCCTCATTTACATGAACAAGAGTATTTACAAAAATTGAAGGATTTACCATCATAGCAAAGAACGCTCCAGGCTTTTTTACAATAGATGTTTTGGGGAGATTCTCACGCTGCGCAAATTTACCCCAGAAGGAATTCAACATCAACTTAGCCAACGACCTCAGACCTGGATTCTCCGTTATTTCGGAAAACTCCAACCAGACATTCTCCCTTTGGAGAAACTCCTCGATGTAACGGTCTTTTTCCTCATCCAATACACAACCTCGTGGCCACCCTGAAGCTTGTTGCTTAATCTTTATAAATTTGTTCATCATGTCAGAGAACAGACCCTTTTGAGATGTCGATAACTGAATTGTATCATAATTCCATACCTCATACGTTTCCAACAGTTTATAACCTTTAGATAAGGCTTGTATCACCTCTTCTGCAACCCACGTGCCTGTTAGAGCCCTCTCTTTATCGGAATGTTGGCATTCCTTCTGAACAAAGTCCTCACCACATTTACGACAAAGAACAAACATACATTTACTGTTCATCTTAGCAGGAAGAACAGGGTGATAGAGATGGGTAGGAGGCAATATCCTACACCTAATTATACCCGATACCTTAGATAAATCTATATCCTGACACTCCTCACCAACGTACACTTTAGGATGACCTACAGGAAACCTGCCATACTTGCACACCCACGGATACAACGAGCAAACATCAACGTATTTAATTTGCTCGTCCTCTTTACACTTGTAATACTCTACGGTATTACCTGTACGACCACCATACAGAGCATCTCGTGGATTGAGAGGTAGAGTTGTCATTAGGGGGTGACCGTCAGTATATGATGTTATCTCTGGTGTCATCATTTTACGGAAGACACATTCCCACATTTCAGCCAATTCATACCCTAGAGAACGTAAATGCTGGTTTTTAGCAAGTGTTTTTTCATAACGATTCTCCATACAATCGGAAGGATCATCATGAAGAGGAGCAGTTCTATTTTCAGGGTAGCAAGTCGGACAACCGTGATAATAACAGCCCTGGAATTCAAAAACTATGTTTTCGTAAAGACCGTCTACCTTACAATTACCAATAAGAGCTTCAGGACCCCTAGCAGCATGTTGGATTGTAATACAGCGCTGTTTTTCTTCCCACAATAACCACTGTAAAGCGATTTTAGATTGATTATCTTTGAGCCGATAACCAATCTTTGGAATAAGACCTATGGTGTCAGGCTGTAAAAAGTTACGCCTAAACACTTTATTGCATGTGGAGGCTACAGTTGTTGCCTCGAGAAAAGGACATACATTTGACGTGTCTAGCAACTGTTGGCGAAAAATGAGACAAGCCTGTGCTAATATTTCAACATCAGATATACAGTACTCTTCAATTTCCTTTTTAAAATCAAAGATATATCCTTCATTGACTCTTTCAGCATGCCACACTTTCAACCTGTCACGTGCATCCTCCTTCAAAGTATCTGGATCGTAACATTTGAGAGGTGGTATAGGCCCAATATAGTTCTGGTTTTCCTCTCTGTTGAAGAGATGTGGAAAATACCCTTTCTTCAACTCCGTCAATCCAAAAGACTTGGGCAGAGCAGACAACGGCATAGGGAAATAATTAAGACTGTCGAGAAATCTTACATTCCCAACAGTCATGGACATCAGCTTCGTACCACGCATAATGAGATCTGGGGTTAAGTCAGTCTTTGTAAGGATATGATTAAGGATGAACTGATGATCGAAACCACCTCCATTGTGAGCGAGAACAACAACATTTTTAAATAGTTTTCTAATTGATAAAATATGGTGAAGAAAAGGAGGGATGACGTTAGCTGATTTCAGAATTTGTAAACGAACACCACACTTTTTACAAATAGCGGTACTGAAATCTAAACACTCATCACACACTTGTTTAAAAACACAGAGATTCGGTTCTTGAAGAAGCGAACCGTCGGACATTACTGTTTCCTGGCGAGTTTCCAGGTCATAAAATATAAAGAGAAAATCTTTTGATGGAGGAGCACCGGAATCGGGTTGCATATAGCAGAAATGATCGTTGGGGCAATTCTTTTTACAAGTTTTACAAAAGACCTCGCCACAGACATGATTTTTGGTGTAGATCTTGTAACACTCTTTGCACCTCTTAATTTTACCGCATACCGAGCTAATATGAGCATTGAAACAGACATCACCGTAAAAAATTCGACCACATTTCTCACAAGGAACCCTGACAACGTCTTTAGAACAAGAAGGAGTTTGACGACAAGCAAAACACGTGCCGCCACACCTATGTTCGTTTTTATTGTTGTAAGGTTGATAACATGCCACACAGAAATATCTTGAACAAAAGGCACTTGTTAGCGAGAGTACTACGTTGAAATGACCTTCATGGAACAAAAGATTAAGCCTAGACCCTTCACCAACACCTTCGAAAATGACATTACGTCCCTTACTACGTACTTATACACCACGATCTTATACCCTGTAAGACACAGTTGGAATTGTTGTAATTCTGAAATACTTGCTCCCTCTTCAGGAATAACAACACCCGCATTTTGCATTAATTGCAGTGCTTTCTTACGTTGTATTTTACCAGTGTCCTTACGTATTTTAGTGAGTTCCAGATCTTTGTCGACGTAAGCTTTGGCAACAACCAAAGCGCGAGGAAGGCAGAGATTATCGGTGTTTTTGATATCAACGATTCCCCGGCGTTTGGAACACTCCTCGTTAAACGAGTTGTACATATAACCACGAACTTTTCCAACAGGCATCTTTACAGTTGTAATACCGAGACAGAACGTTTCGGTATTGAGGCCGGTGCTATTACTCTGATATATGGAACTTATCTTATTCCATACATCATCGAAAGTCACCTCGGAGGCAGGCTTGAACCTCATCCAACCCTGACCTTGAGCAAAATCATTGGAGCAAAAAGTGAAGCCGACCTGATCATGTGGCAAAATATTTACAGTACCCTTTCGAACAATATCCTCGAGGGCCTTTTTAACCCAACTTACAGGTTCCTCACCTGGCGGTACATCCCTAATTTTAAATTCCAGAGTTCGTCCCTGGACACCAAATTTACGGATTTTCTTGGTCTGATCTTTGACAATTAAAAACCTTTTCATGGTACGTATAACAAACCTGAAAATTCTTGTAAAATAAAAAAAATTCAAAAAGCAAAGTTTTCAAAAAATGTATTATACCCACCAAAGTACGTTTGAACACTAGAAATATCTGGAA